TGATTAATTCTTTTACATATTCATTTGTTTACTTTGAATTGTATTGTATTTATTATGCAGATCAAATGTTATAATGAACGATTGTAAATATCTTTGATTTGAAGCAATACAAAAATAATTTTAAAAAAATAGATGGAACTTCGAATGCGCACAGTTGAAAATGATGCCTCCGTTATAGAGCAATTTTACAAACCAAAACAGAAGACATTTTTCTAATTGAAGTTCAATTGTAATCCATTAACAGGTTCTCAGAATATCGTGATTACAAGCAATTTCTCATATACATATATGAACCTTTGATATTTGACCTCATGACCCTAAAATCTACTCAGTTCATTGGCTCTGCAAGATGTCCTTAGTTAAATAGTAATCCATCTAATGATAATGAGTTCACAAGCTATTTTTGCATACATAATGAGCCCATGACCTTTGACCTCATGACCCAAGAATCTACTCAGTTCATTGGCTCTGCAAGATACATACATGATCTAAGTTTGGCAGGAATCCATCAATCTGATCTAATGCGATCACAAGATATTTTTGCATACATAATAAGCCACATGACCTTTGACCTTGACCTCATGACCCCAAAATCTAATCAGTTCATCGGCTCTGCAAGTAACATACATGACCTAAGTTTGGCAGGAATCCATCAATCGGTTCATGAGATAACGCGATCACGAGCTGTTTTTGCATACATGAGCCCTGTGACCTTTGACCTCGTGACCCCAAAATCTAATCAGTTCATCAGCTCTGCAAGATACATACATGACCAAAGTTTGGCAGGAATCCATCAATAGGTTCTTCAGATAACGCGATCACGAGAACGGGACGTACGGACAGACGGACAACCCAAAAACCTAATGCCTCCGGCTACTTCGTAACGGAGGCATAAAAATAATCTATGATTTGAATTTCTTTTCCGAAAGAGCATCAAATATAATGTCCAAATATTGAAAACATATGTGAAGTATTGGCTGAGATATGACCATCTGAATAAATCTATTTCCTACAGGAACTCAGTGTTATTTGCTCTGGCTCCTAATAATTTTAACTCGGACATTCAATGTTGCCTTTGCCCAACTCCGCACATTAAACAGTAGTTTATTGAATGGATGTCACAAACAATACATGGGTCGACGCTTCCCTTTTGTTCCTAGACCCCCTCCCCCCCCCCCCCTTAATCAAACTCGCCTTTCATACTATGGCTACGTTGCGTTAACATTTTATGCGCCATTATGTTAGTGATTGTGATAGATTTTGAGCGAAAGAATGGTAATTAGATAAGAAAAAAGTATTAAACAGGGAAACAAGACCCACAAAATCATATTGTTAGTTGAGGTTGACATAAAAGCAAGCGAAGGAAGATGGATATCATATTTAGAGTTCAACAATATGAGTGAGAGGGGTTGGAGAGACAGAAAGTTGGACGTAGTCTGTACTGTATTCATTATTATGGTATTTGTCTCTCTAATCACCCCCCCCCCCCCCAGGCTCTTTTTTTCTTTCTGTTGTGTTTGTTTATATCTTTTCGCTTAAAGTGACTTGGTAACATTGTTGAAGGTTGATGAAAAAATTGCTTAATTTTTGTATAAAATGTTACTACCGTAACTATATTTCTTCTACTGTACTAACCCTCTGACATGCAAAAAATCCTGAACAAATTCTTAAACCACAAAGATATTTATGGTTTTCTTTGAAGGAGTCGAGTCGATGTATGACACCCTCTAACAGTGATTAACAGTAAATTCTCCCGACCATTTTTGAATTTTCCCAACCGTTTTTCCATGAAAAAAGACATAAAACAGGCTATAAAAAATCTGTCAACACTTAAATGTCTGGAATGGAATGTTGAGCCATTTTATTGCTTTGTGACAATTTCCATTCACCTAAAATGTAATTAAATTGTAATAATATAGTTGGGAGAATTAAGGAATCGATCAGATCAGTTTTTCCCAATTTGTACCATGGATAATGGTCCGTTTTCACTCAAATTTTCAGATTATCTTTAATTGTACATCTAACATTGAAGTCCCTACCTTAGCACCACTATCTCTTATCTGAACAATGGTACCAAGTCCCTTTAAGTATAATGTCCGACGTATATTAACATCATTTTTTGATATCAGTTTGATGCAACAGAGACTTACATTCAAAAGTTTTACTTCTTATAATTATTATTGTACTGTAATATTCTTCTCTCCGTTCATTTTAGCTTCTTCTGAATGTTCGCGTTATATTTCTTAATCTCTTGATGAAATACAAACGCCTGAAGCTAGTATTTAGTGGATGCAAACAAAACAAAACCAAAAACGTGAATAGACTTCCTGTTTTTTCACTGCAGATCATAACAAAGCGAATGAAAATGGGCAGACCATAGTTCAGATAATCCGACTATCGTTTTCTATCATTGGAATAATCCACCAGCTCCATCTTCTCACGCAAACAGGCCGGTGAATGGACTGTCGTTGTTATTGTTGTTTAATTTAGGCAAGTCGTCAGTTTATGACTGTTATTGCCGAATAATACGAACAATTTGTTTTAAATTCTAATTTACGTATATGCACTCACATAATATGCGTGTATATTATTAATAATACCGGTATACAAATATATATAAATAATATTTTTTTTAAAGATATATAATTATATATAACATTCCTTGGTCACGCTTTGCTTAAAATAGATGATTATGTCCATCATACAGACAGAATGAATTGAATGTGTATTTTCATTATATTATATTGCAAGCAAATGGTGGAATAGAAAACAATATGAAAGATGAAGATGGAAAACGACGTTGGCAGATAGACAAAGAGAGAGCGAGAAAGAGACAGACAGACAGAGAGAGAGAAAGAGAGAGTGAGAGAAAGTTGGAAGCATAAATACCCCTACAAAAACAGAAGAAATCTTGAAGAGAGAGACAAGTAAAATATGAAAAGGACACAACAAATAAAAGTAAATAAATAATAGGATTCTAGAGCGGAAGATAATAGGGAAAACGTAATAGTTTGGTAGTATTGGCAAATTTTGAAAATTATAGTTTGTAAGTATAGTGACAAAGTATATACAAACAAAAAAGGCACAAAATATTTGAAGGCATTTTAGACCTACCGGTATATAGAATGATTATACGAAAAGAGTTATGTCTGAGGCCTATCTACATCTATGTTACGTAAGAAGAACAATGAACGTGGCCAAGGGTAAAGTTCGTTGTCATAGTTATAAACTTGAACAATAGAAGGGCGGATTATGAGGCACTAGGGTGCTTGCCGTAAGGAGATTTCTTCAGGGCGAGCGCGGATTACGCTGCTCCCAGTGAAGTACCAGCAGTATCAGAATTCTGTGTATGGAAAGGTCTCAGCGCAAGTCAATATCTGTGGGACAGACATCCCGGAGTTAATACGCTGCTCCAAGAATTTCATGTGAGAGAAAAATGGACATGCTTATGAAAAAAACCTGATTATAATGAATAATATGAAAGTACAACAAACAGGAGCAATTGATGTTAGTTTATATTTTGCATGATTGGAGAAATAAAGTATCTTGAATCGTAATCTTGTGCAAGTGTATTGATATATCTTAATAAGATTTTGTTAATGTGAGGAAAATTAACGCAAATTTCTAAACCCCCACCTAACCACAAAAAAAGCCGGAGACACATTAGTATACCTGGGAGAGGGAGGAAGAAAAAGAATGTATAATGAGTGCAGTTTTCACATTTTAATGAGATTTATTGCATGGAAGAGTAAAATCAACCAAAATTTCTAAACATTTATAAACAAATTTTTATAATTCATTGCTTTCCTTTCATTATTCATCACCCTCCCCATCTAAATAATGATAATAACAATAATATGATGATGATTATAATGATAATAATAAGCCGGAGAAACACTGGCGTACGGGGGAGGGGGGCACGGGGCAGAATGCGGATAGGGAGGCAGACTGCACCCATAATGGGTGGCCAGTGAAGAAACAAAAGAGAGGGGAGAAAAGAGAGAGAAAGAGAAGAGAGGGAGGAAAAGAGATGAACAGGAGAAAGAGAAAATATTTTCTTTGGAGAGGGCTTTATACCAAGTTCAAAGAAAAAATAATATTAAAACCTTATGTAAAATGCGTTTTGCCTCTATGAGATAAATGACAATGGAATAGCATAGTCTCCAAACAAGAATTCATGAATCAACACATTGGCTTTATGGCCAGCACATAATTGTTTATACCGGCGAGAGAGAAAAAATCCCACAAGTCTTTATTTCCATTAATTGCTGGAGAATTAAATTTGAATGGGGCTCCCATAAACCTGTGTGTCTAGATTGACACCTCCCAGTTACCTGTTAACAGTTCATTACTATAAAACAGCTTTTTGAATTTTTAAACAGGTCTTATTACCTGTAAACAACCCTTTTAAACTGTGTTTAGATTGTGCATATGATCCATTCCAAACATACAGAGTACAATGCTAATTAGACACAAACTCAAGCTAAGCTAAAATAACTTAGTTTAGCCGCAGAGAGAGCTTAACAAGTATGACGAATCTTTCAATGGGATGAAAAATTGATCGCGGTTTTTCTGGCTTGAAAAAGACGTCACCGTCTTTCAGACACACACAATGCGGCTTTTCGTGGGCAAATCCCGCATCCGGGATTACCTCAAAGCAGCTTTCCTGCATGCGTGCTTAGGTTAAAACGCCGCTGCTTCTCGCACATGAGAATTAATCCAAGGCGCCTAACTATATGATTTTTTTTTTACTATCAAAATTGGTAAACGTTGGATATTGGTTATTGATCAAAACAATGTCAATCTTATAGCACTTGAATTTCAACTGAATCAGAACATGTGTAGTTTGCCTTTATTCCAACTGTCTCAACTGTTCCAATATTCCAATAGGTGTTTGGAAGGAAAAAAAACATGTATATAAACATGTGCACTATATAACTATTACTGCTGTTTCTTTCTTTCAATGACCCTCCATTACATTTACATTAGGACACCCATACCTGTATAGATGGTGCCTTTGCTTTCAATGTAGAGTAGAACTCCTCATCGATAATCTTTCCAAGTTTCAGGTCATTCAGGTATGGCATCAAACACAGTGCTTCTGCAAGGTGATGTGATGCGGCTGGTGTGAGAAACATGAGATCATCATGCTTGAGAGTCTGGACCTACATTATATAAGTGAATATATTTAATTATCACGTATATACACGCATATCTTTTGTTTACTAATTTCTGACTGTATTCTTACATTTCACAAAAATTTAATTAATTACAAAGGTGTATTCATAATAACATTCTAAACAAAAAAACATAGAATATATTTTATTTTCAAATTTGATTCTTGTCTATTGAGAAAAAGAACACGCTAAAGTATCTATGGAGAGGATGATTTAGTACAAGTGATTTTTTATTAATTCTATATGTTTACTTTATAGGGCTTCCAACCTGTTTACATTGGTAAATCTACTTCTACTAACACTGAAATTAATGGTACCCAGAAATATGCATTTGCTATTAATGTATTAAAGGTTTGTATATCTCTGGATTCCATGTGCACAAGACCCCTATTAAAGTAAGGTTTGTTTCTATGGTTCAGTTTGGTAAATACAAGCCTTTATAAAAATTGGCTCTTAAAAAACTGTACAACATATTTTTCATATCAATCAAACGTGGGAAAGGTTGGATTTTGAATATTGATCAAAACAATGACAATATTATACAGACTTTAATTTCAAGTGAATCAGTATCGGTTCATGTGTAGTTTGTTTTTATTTCATGTTTCAGGACTGTTCCAATGCGCCAAGTGAATGACCTTTATAAAAGGGTGGTCTGAAAAAAAAACATATATACGTGTGCAACATATAACTATTACTGCTGTTCCGGTCGATCAACAGAGCTGCCAAGTTTTATTTTGCATTTTCAGTATTCTTATCCCCCCAAATCAGTATTTTGACTAAAAATTGGCAATGTTCAATTACTTATTACATTTCCGTCCCACACGTGAACAATTGTGTTGTACACTAAGCACTGCACAATGGACTTAACGCATTAAACTTAATGCATTTAATTTGCCCTTTCAACAAAATAAAACCCTTAGAAGTACACATACATGTTACTTATCTAATGAACATTCATTACCGTCATTGACTGGACAATTCCTTCAGTCTTTTCTGACCCTCCTTGACCTAATGATACACTTCCAACGTTTGCAATATTCCTCCTTGAATAGTTGTTTGCGTGGTAGAGCTGACTTAGAAGACATCTTGATATTCCCACGACATTAAATATCAAATCAAACCAAAAAGCAACACTGACACTGTCCACAGATGCATGAGCACGATACGATGCGATGACGTCACTAGCACTTGACTCATAGTCACATCGCATGCGCAATTAGTAGACAAACACACACGTGTACGCATATTGGCAAGTTGCAGCACCGATTCCACTTCAGTCCCACACGCAGACAATCGATGCTCGAAGCACCGCACACATGCACAGTAAACATACAAACGGATATCCGAAGTCGACACACGTCTTTCAGCGCACGGAGTGCGCACCAGCCATGCCCATAGGCTAATACACAATTAATTATTTTTTTTTATACACAACTGATTTTTTCTTCTTCCGTATTTTAACATGAAAAAATGCACGTCCGTATTTTAAGTTGATTTCCGTACGAAATACAAGAAATTTGTGCTACTTGGCAGCTCTGGATCAATGACCCTCCATGACATGTACATTATGACACACATACCTGTATGGATGATGCCTTTGCTTTCAATGTAGAGTAGAACTCATCCTTGAAATTCCTTTCAAGTGTCAGGTCAGTCAAGTTTGGCATGGCACACAGTGCTCCTGCTAGGTGATGTGATGAGGCTGGTGTGATACACTTGTCACCATGAAGCTTGAGAGTCTGGACCTGCATTATTTGTGAATATATTTAAGCAGCACGTCTATACTTGCACATGTTTTATGTACTAATTGCTGACTGTATTCTTACATTTCACACAAATTCCATTAGTTGCATAGTTGTATTCATAACATTCTCAACAAAAATGACTGAATAGATTTTATTTTCAAATTTATTTCTTGTCTTTTGATAAAAAGAACACACTAGTTCAGTTCAATTCATTAATTCTTCTCAAGCATAAAAACAATATTTTAATATATACAAAATGGCAAATATACATTAAGAAAAAACAGAAACTACAAACAAAATTCTAAAAACTTGTACAGAGTAGTTCCCAGTAAAGGGAGAAATACATGGTATAAACAATAGCAATAACAAAAATACAAAGTTATACAGATTAACTAGGTAATCCTAGTAACACACTACACCAACAAACACCAGCAATCATACAGGGAGGGTGTGGGGGGGGGGGGGGTAATGGTAATTGTAAATTAAATGGAAAAGAAATTAATTTGAATAATCATTAATATATACCCTTTTCAACTTTACTTTGAATGAAGTTATATTTGTTGAACTCTTTATTTCCTCTGAAAGATTATTCCACACGCGTGGACCACTGTGTCTTAATGAGTTAAGTAAAATCTGTTTTTTAACCTGCCAACCCAGCCCGTGGTCCTGCAACAAGCAGAGAATAATAACGCAGCAGCTCAAAAGCCTAATGGGGGAGTTGCTACTGATGAACCACCGACAAGGAAAGCACCACTACTAACAACAAAAAACAGATTGGAATTGGGACATGGAATGTGCGTACACTGCTCCAACCTGGAAGCTTAGACATATTGCTACATCCACTAAAAGGATTTCAATGGTAAATCATCGCATTACAGAAACCCATCGGACAGACATGGGAGACTTCACCCATGATAGACACAGAATCCTATGCTCTGGGAAAGATAAAATTCATAGAGAAGGAGTTGCATTGATTCTAAACAAAACAGCCCAAAATGCACTTCTTGGCTACAACCCCATCTCACCAAGAATTATTTCAGCAAGATTTGAAGTACAGACAGGATCATTGACCAAAATACAGATCTACGCTCCAAACACAGCCAACAGTGAAGAAGAAATAGAGGAATTTTACAACCTACTGCAAGCAATGATAAAGAAAGCTCCACGAAAAGACATTCTTATAGCAATGGGCGACCTAAATGCAAAGGTAGAATCAGACTTCAAGCAATGAAACCAGGTTATAGGTCACTATGGACTGGGGGAGGCCAATCCCAGGAGAAAAAAGCTTCTTCATTTCTGTGCAGCAAACGACCCGATCATCACTAACACGCTATACAAACAAAGCAAAGAAAGCCACTTGTGGATGTGGGAATCACCAGACCAAAACACACATAATAAATTGATTTTATTATGATCAACAAAAATTTGAAAAACTCAATTACTGTAGTAATGCAAGAAGCTTTCCAAGTGCTGATGTAGGATCAGACCATCAGTTAATTATAACCAACCTACTTCTTAAACTCAAAGCAAAACCTAGACCACAGTACCTGTAGCAGGATGATGTCTTTAGACTCAAAGACCCCAAAACCAGAACAGATTATGAAATTGAAATAGTTGGAAAATTTGGCCCTCTGCTGGGGGGAGATGACACAGATGTGGAAAACCTATGGAAAGGAGTAAAAACAGCCTGAAATGAAACCTCACAGAAAGTACTAAGATTTTAAAAAAATTCCAAACAACAAGAACCCTGGATAAGTGAGGAAGTCCTCCGACTGAGTGATGAGAGAAAGGAAGCTAAACAAGACAAAGAGACCCAACCAAAAGACCAAGATACAACTTCCTTAACAGAGAAATACAAAGGAAAACAAAAGGCTGCAAAGACAAATAGATACAAGAGCTATGCAAAAAAGTGAAAACCTCATGTCAGGCTACCAAATCCAAGGCAGTCTACACAACAATTAAACAAATCACCAAGAAATCTAATATCAGAATGCAGGCAGTGAAAAGCAAAGATGGAGAAATCCTTACTGAGATGGAAGACGTTAAAGAGAGATGGAAAGAAAGCTTTGAAGAACTGTACAATAACCAGAACCAAACAAATGGAGAAGCTACTAACATACCTCAGATGGCCAGCCTCGATCCAGTTCCAGACATTCTGCGAGATGAAGTAGAATACGCTGTCCGGAAACTCGCAGAAGAGAAAGCACCTGGATTTGGAGAGGAACTCGAAGCTGCTGGGTCAACAGGTATCACCATACTCCACAAATTGTGCAACAAAATATGGCAGGAAAAACTTTTCTGGCCGACTGGGGAAAAGCCATAATAACACCAATCTACAAGTAAAAATACAAACTCAATTGTGGAAACTACAGGGGTATAAGCCTACTTAGCCATGTAGGGAAAGTGTTCCGTATCATCCTCCAGCAAAGGATCATGAAGAAAACAGAAGAAGTGCTGTCCGAAGCACAAGCTGGATTCCGTCCAGGACGCTCCACTATGGATTAATTGTTCACCCTGAGACAAATAATGGAAAAGCGCCTTGAAGGAAATCAGGGGCTCCTATGCTGCTTCATCGATTGCGAAAAGACATTCGACTCAGTCTGGCAGGAAGGCCTATGGAAAGCAATGAACTTCTTTGAACAATTTGTCAAAATATATACACCTACTTCAAGCACTCTACCAACAATCAAGCAGTGCAGTCAGAGTGAATGGTGAACTGACCGACTGGTTTAAAACCACAGTTGGGGTACGCCAAGGATGTGCCCTGTCCCCACTACTTTTTAACATCCTACTCGAAGCTGTGATGCTATACGTAATACACGACACCAAGATTGGCGTAAGAGTACAGGGACAGCTGATCAACAACCTAAGATTTGCTGACGACATTGTCCTTATAGCTGACAATGATAGAGACCTCCAAACAATAGTTGACCTATTACACCAGAGCAGCTCAAACTTAGGACTAAAAATAAACATTACCAAATCAGAAGTACAAGCCATAAGCAAACAGCCTCAACTATTGAATATAAACATTGGAGGAGAACAGCTAAAACAAGTACTGTAGATAAGTTCACATACCTGGGAGGAACAAAAAGCCAGACAGGATCCTGCTCGAAATAGGTACAGCACAGCATTGGGAAGGCAATAGGATCATTCCAAGTATATGATAAAATTTTGATTAATTAAATTATTTAAATCTACTTATTACCAATGCCTTTACATTGGAAATACAGACGTACCAGTATTGAAGTGTTGTTGCCATTCAACTGGTTGGAACTTTTACCAAATGGTTCTACTGGCTCAGCTAGACCAGTTGAATTCTAACTGGCAAGGATCAACTGGATCATTTAGCCTATTTCAAATTCCAGGGTTACCAGTTGGCATTAACTGGTTCATTAACTGGATCAGTTGAAACTAGGGCCTTACTCAAGTGAGTGTAAGTTATTATTCATATTATTAAGGACATGAAGGTCAATAAGTGCAAAATCACAAGAGGAATTTGACTGTAATCCATATTGAGAATTATTCAACAAATTATTTTTATCAATAGGACTTATAAGTCTGTTGTACATCAAATTTTCTAAGACTTAAAAAAAAACAGGGGAGTAATGTTATTGGTCTGGAATTTGAAAATATATGAGGATCTCCTTTTTTTAATACCGGGATAATCTTACCAATTTTCATGTCTTTGGGAAATTTACCAGAAGAAAGTAAAAGATTTATTATATGTACAAGAGGCTTAGTAATAAAATGTATTACTTTTTTGATCACTGACTGGCGAATACCATCAAATCCTGCACTTTTACTTGATTTGAGCTATTTAACAACCGGAATAATTTCAGTTTCATTTGTAGGGCTCAAAGTTATGGCAATGGTTTGAAAGAAAAGAAGAAAAGAATATTAATTAAGATTTAAATCTTAGTAGCTATATTTAAAAAAAAAGAATTAAATTTCTCAACGATGATTTGGTTGTCGGTTATTCTAATATCAGCTTTCATAAAGTAGCTAGTAATATCTTGTTTTTTATTTTTGCTAAGTACTTCATTAATAATCTTCCATAAAGTTGGAAAGATTACTTCTGTGTTTCTGCAACAAAATATTGTTTTAATTTATTGTGATAAGTTTTAAACATTTTTTCTGTTGATTGATTTCTGTTTTTACAAAATCTTTTATACATCCTATCTTTTTATGTATACATTTCAATAAGAATATATTGGTAGCTATTATATACATACAGATAGCTATGGTGTATCGATTGATATTACAACAACAAAATTTCATTGACCTGGATAACAGATAATATAATATTGATGAAAAACAAATTCAAAGGAGATGACAGACAATTGGTCTGAATAGAGTACTTATTTTAGTGTTCTTTAATTGCCTTC